ACGTAAAGGTAGTATATAAACTTCCGTAGTCCCAGTTTCCACTGCTATGCTGTGAATCTAGAAAAATCAAATGGATTAAATAACTGAATCGAAAATACAAACGTGATATCCGTTCAAGTTGTTTTATTCAAAAACGGCACAACGAAATTAAACTAACTTGTGGAAAAGCAAGAAAAAAAGGTAGCACTCGAAAAAAGTATTCAATTAAGAGATGTTAACACAGACGAAAGTGTATCTGTGCCAACATAATCGATAATAAATATAAAAGCTTAACGATAAGCAGTAATAATCCCTTTCATATCAAGGACCTCCAAATAATAAGCTTATGACCAGAATTAGTAGATGATACATGCATTTACGTCATTTGAGAGCGTGATGTTAAAGCGAGTTATGATTAAACTGATGAGCATTCCGATCATAAAAGTCAAGTCAACTACATTGAGACAGAAATATTCATCTGACATTCTGTTGGATATTACGCTAAAATAATTTCCAACAAATGAAAATGTCTAGAATTATATATATATAATATAAAGATTTGTGAGAAGAAAAGGAATTTGTGCGAAAAACAATACTAATTAATTTGATAGATAGATACTCAAGACAACTGATCTCTAACTCAGTCAGTTACAACGTAGGACCAGGCATACATATGCATTGATCCAAGCTGCCATACCTCGTTAGCACAACAATATGAACACCGAATTCATAGTAGTTAATTTACTGGTGGTAATATATAAAAGAGAGATTGTATATAAGGATGTAGTACAGGAAGAAAAACAGATATGAAGCAATTTTAATCTCAAGGTTTAAGAGAAGATAAAAAGTGTATTCACCTGCGCCATATCGCCTAGAGTCTACAACCATTGGTTACGATAGTCACACGGACCCCAACCAAGTAGTCTGCATCTGCCAGCATGGCTCAGACTAGAAGTTAGTGACTTCAAACTCTGATGCCACGTTTTGGTTTGGCCACCCCTAGTTATATTGTATGCAAATAATTTGTTAGTATCATATTACATCAACTTGCTTACTATCCATTTTCTGTGAGAAGCGACATTGAGAACTTTTTCGATGAATTCACTGAGGTGTTTAGCTTAATATGTATGATACAATATATTTTAATATGTGGATAGTTTTGCAATTGGAATAGATAATCAGTATATTAAGAGTAGCATTGAAGTAGAAAAAACACCTTGCACAGAAAGTTATGAATAAGAATTAATCCAAATAACACTACATAAGCATATCAACAGTAGTCACAACATAGAAGGGAATACTTAGACATTGTTCTGTGAACCTGGTTAGGTAAATCCGCCATTATTTATGAATTATGCAATTAAATATGGCGAAAATTTCAATAATTTTGGAATTTTACCAAAAAGTTTACTCATAACACAAAGCACTAACTTTTCGATAATCGGTGAAATTGGTAAAAGCTTAAGTTGCTACGCTGTCTACAAACAAAACAAGAACACTAGACACAGAGGAAAACAATAGTAAGATTATAAACAATTATATCTTGAAAATATGCACTTCAAGAAGAGCGTACGTGTTTACCGCATAACTGGTGGTCTTCAGCATTTAGAGAATTAAATTTTGAATTTATTATACTACTCAGACTATCAATAAGCAACTTCATCAATAGATGGTGTTGGTTATATCGCATTTGCTTTCCTATTGGAGCGTTTTTGTTGTGACCTACATTGTCAGCAGTGATTTTATGTGCAATAATACATATTCCAACCATTTCGGTTAGCAAAAATTTAATCCATCAATCGAATCACCCTCTATGCAGAATATTACTACGTGACTGTTCTTTTGGTTGTAGAATGAATGTGATGAACAATATTTGAATGTCATATATCGAAAGAGAATATAATACCAATTTCAACTTGTCACTAATCATGTTAACTGAGATTTGTTAAGAACCTCGTTTTAGAATGACTCGGTTTTTATCGAGTTACTATCCTAGGTATAGTATATATGCCAGAGAAGTCGTTTTTTCAAAGGGTATCCTGCTTTCGTACAAGTTGATCAGTGATGTTCATTCAAGGTTTAAAAGCAAGTATATAGTGGAAACCGAAACCAGTACTCTGGAAAAAAATGGTGATTGTTTACCTGGATAGGGTTCGAATGGCTAATGAGATTTACCAAGACGAACTTAAGCCACAAATACAGTAAGCAATTGTCATTATGGGATTGTGGAGTTCGTTGGAATCACGGATCGAGACCAACGGTCCTCGGTTTGATTTCCAGTTGCGGGCTCCTGAATAGATATTGTTGGGGAGTTCCATACTGAGATAGGGACGTCCGTCCGGTGCTTCCAGTGTTGGTTTAATTTAAATCAGTTCGTGATTTCAATGAGTAAGCAATAACTAACTAATGTGTAAATTTATTTTCCTTGAAGCTCTAACATCCTGATCGTGCGGTATCGCTCCATGTGAAAATATGCCTCTTCAGTGTTAAATCATTCTCCATAAGAAGCATTACTTTAAGTGGTACACTAAATTCTCTAGTCCTACGAAGAACAATCTAAATTTTAGATGGAACCTAACAAAAATTAAGATCATAATTAAATTAAAACGACAAGATTAAAATTTACAACTATCTGAAATTTGATTTCAGGCTTAACGCTAATTTTTCTGAAACCAAATATCAATCATGTACAACTCAATGTCGCACTAAAGGCGGACTAAATATGATTCTTTCACAACAGCTGAAAATATTCACAATAAACGTTGCTCCAGTCGGTTTGCAAAGTTTAGCAGATTACTAGTTGGAATTTTGATACTAACTCAAATAACCGATGTTCCGAATCACAAACGTCGATGGACAAACTGGAAGGGCGAAATCTCCAGAGTAATTATAAGAAGGCATTGCCGATGAAGAAATAAATTGATAATATACCATAAATAGTGTTATGCATAGGATATTACGAGTAGCTTAAAGTCCACTGAAAAATGATAAATTCGGTGTTCCATCAAGATGCACATATAACAGGTTCTATCTTAGAAATTTATTACTTACTATATACAAGAAGCGGTGTCTGACTGGTCTGTTAGTATGCATGTTCAACACAAACTAAAAGTTTGAAATGTTAATCCTGAATCTTTATGGAGTACGAATAAGAAAGTGATTATCATGTTTTAAGAAACTTGATGTTGACCCACTTGGATCGATAAAAATTCATAGGACTAACAAATTTGCCACAACTCATACAAGTATACTGTCACACTAAAATGGATATTAATTCAACAACTGGAAAGTTGTATGAAAACGAACGTACTTTTACGTCAAAGATTTCAAGTAATTAAATATTATTTCTAGAACTGCAATTCATATAATGATGAATTATATGATTCACCCCCACTTTGATTATGTGAATCAATGATCAACTAGAATACCAAGTAGGAAACAAGATATTATATAAAAGTGCTCTCCTATATTATCTGTTCAGAAATATTGACAGGAGATTAATCCAAAGCATATCCCAAAATTCATTATAAGTTAGCAATGACTCGTTTGTAACATATCTTGCTGTAACACAAATATCTTTAGATAGTGTACATATGAAAATCCCCACTATTAGTCGTACAAATCTCGAATGAGTAATAAAAACATCTTCATGACTTTAACAGTTTTTAGAAATCTACTTTCTATAGGATCAAACCTTTAATAAATGCTTAGCATTCATGAGTTATAAATCACTCATTATTCCATGATTTTAATTAAATATAGAACCATAGATCTATTAATGCCTTGCACTAAACTAGGTTGAACTTCGGTTGAACACCGCTTACGTAAAATACCAAAAAGGATGATATGCATTATATAATGCTGTAGTTTGAAATTTCAATAAATTTGAAAGGTTGTAAAGAATTCGACTGCGTAAAAATATATTTGCTGACTAGTGAAAAATAGAAAAACTTTTATCACAGTAGTTAAATTTTTAAAAGAGTAGTCGAACGGACGTGCTGAATATTATTGATATTTGTGTTAGACGTTTTTAACTGTGTTGACAATTTGTCATCATACGCAAATGTGTTGAAAAATACAACTAAGTTTTCAATTATTAGTATGTTGATTTTCCCAATATATCCCAATATATACACTGACAGGCTTGAAATATATCAAATAAAAACGAAGATAACGGTTGTTAAGTTTGTACGCGATTTTTAAAAACGGAATTGTGGGTAGCCTGTTACCTGAAAAAATGGTTTCGAGCAGGTCTTGCATTTTGACTAACTCGGTCGGTGGTACGATTGAAGATTACCTACAGAACTCTGGACCATTGAGAAAAAGCATCCTATATAGCTGTGGTCACAAAATGATATGGAGAGAAGTTAGAGTCCAGGAGGGAAGGGGAAATTTTTGGAGGTATTAAAATCAGAACTATTAAGTTTAGGACAAGAGAGTTAGGGCGCTAGCATTCGAAAACCTATTTTTTACAATTATACTATTTTTACATATTATGCAACTCATTTACAAAAGCTACATCCTGACTGAACAATATTCTGTCGGTTGATCCCAAGGTCTTTTCAAGAACCCTTCAAGACCGTCAGTATAGTATAGTTTTACCGAATCTACTTTTCAACATATAATTATCCGTACTGAGTAATTAAAAACCTATATAATCAAAATTTATAATTTTTAACTCATTATTCTGGTTGGAATAACTTGTTCAATGAGTGAGCACGTTCAATTAACCTTACATTACTTGACAATCTATTTATATCAGGCTAGTTAAGTGTTCAAATTAATACTTGATGCTCAAAGTTTTGCCCCTAATGTGTGACTTGAATGTGTCAGACACATATACATACCATGAATACCTACTGACAAAGAATACATCAAACATTATTACACGAAACATAATTAAACATTACTCAGAAACTACTGTAATCTCCCAGTAGTATTAAAACAAAACACAATAAACATCTAAGCATCCTAATATAACATTTACAATAGATTTATTCATAGAAAAGACAGAGGGAGATCAAATAATAATGCATATATTTGACAAAAAAAAGAGGCGAACAATAACACGATAGAACTGAAAACATAACAGAAAAAGAAAGAGAAGACCAAGTAAATCATAGACTATAATTAACTACGTATGCATTAGAATATGAATTAGAATACACAAAAATTAATGAACAATATTTGATGAGACCAGGAGGATACAAAATGACACAGAAAACAAAACCTGAATACTACAATTACATTTATGTTTTGATGAAACAATGGTTTTATGAATATCCTGCATATGATGCCGTGCTGACTGATGATTAATGATGGCATGTTCAGTTTTGTGCAGTGATGATAATGATGATGATGATCAATTGAGATATATAGGATCGATAATATAATGATCTCTAAGTAAAGTAAATTAATTACGAAGGTGATTACTTTGGTTGTGGAGATATTCTTAAAAAATATGGTCAAGCTAAGAGTGTTATATTCGCATAAGTAAAGGTAAACAGGTGAAGTTAAAATTTCCTTTCAATAAAGACACAAATAACATCTAATGACAGACAAGCAAACTTTAAGTGAACATTTATATATATCACCTGTTGGAAATTAGTTATGTTAAGAAACTCCTTCGACAATAAAATAAATTACTGTGCCTCAGATATAAATGAAGAATTGTCAGTAGGGCTGTCTGTGCTTCATTGTTATATTGTCAGTTATTTCCCCTTATATAATTAATCTATTGTTATGCTATTTTAATTGAATATTTTGTATACCTAGTCAGTTGGTTTTTCAAAATCTATTCGGTTTAGATTTAGGACACAGTTTTGTGGTCAAACTAATTTAAGACCGCTTATTCATATTCATTTTGACCAATTGTACTGTCATAATACAATATTTTTTACTAGTTCTCCTTAGTTCCTAGCAGCGATGAGTTGAAAGTAAAATTTAAAAAGAAACTAAAGTGACGATAGGAGAAATGAAACAAACAATTAAATATACTACAGATTGAGTATTAATAATGCTAGATGTTATATCAAGTTTATACTACTTAATAAAACAGAATGTAATATGAATTCACTTAGTATTGTTTGTTTGAATTTTCCCATCGATGTGTTAGGACTGCAACTGGTCAGTCTCTAATTGGGATATGTGCAAACTGTGCGTATTGCCTCAATATAGCCTTAAGAATGTAATGTGATCTATAATGAGAGATATTCACAATTCAAATGAAGTTGAAGAATCTTAACTAACCAGATAATATTATAAATATCATGTTTCATTTATATATGGAATTTCAAGTTTATTTAGCATTACTTACTGGTTAAACGTAAGTAAATTAGTGGAATTTCAAGTCAGAACAATAGAACTCACTAAAATTATTCTGTATGATTTCGTCCATTTTCCTCATTGTTCTTATCACTTCCAACATGAATCGGTTCAGCAGATAAATTAGGACTCGCGAATGCAAACTTAATGGTAAACGGATATGTACATTCTTCATCTTTAATGGGTTGATGATTACATAAAGCCAAAGCTTCACATGCTTCGGCATCTGTAGTCCATTTTATAAAACCAGATGAGGATTTATCCGAAGCTTTTGAAAACTGTTCAATACGTCTGAAAATACAAATTGTTAGGAACTTAGAGTTTCTGGTTACGTAATGAATGTACAAACAATATTAACTAACTGATAAACAATAATGGCATTACTATGTAAGGAATTAGTCAACAGATTTAAGGCAAATGGCACGACGATACTTAAAGAAAAAGACGTATAGACTAAACAAACTAACGGTATGTTCGCAACCTAAGAATGAAATAAACGACATTAAAAAGGAGTGAAAGACCGAATCAAAGAAGAACAAATAAAACCTTAAACATGGAATGACATGAAGGAACATTGCTTTAAATTTAAACATCAAAAAGTAATTTATAGGTCATTTCTGGTAATACGACATCCTCTTTTAATCACTCTATTATGTACTATTGTGGTGTGGGCTACTTATATCGACATAAGTGCCCCCAAATACCCTTGTATGGCCGAGAGTGAGGAGAGTCCGTTCTCCCTCTCGAATTGCTCTCACATGGTCACGCGAATATATAGCCTCTGCCAGGGAAGTCCTATTCATTGCCTTCTCGTGGCGGGGGTGTTGTTCACAATAGTGAGAGGACGAAAAGCGAATGTCCGGAGCTTTAACCGAGTTGGTGGACAAGGAAAGTCCACCTTGGGGAGTTGAAAAACCCTGATTCAAAACTAATGGTGCACATGGGCTCCAGTATCCTGAAGGAAAAAATGGCGAATAAACCAGTTATTGGTCACCGGCTACCATGGGACTGCATCTCCTCTCGATGCTCCACTGCCTTGTGGGTTACACCTCTAGGTCAAAGGCTACGGGTGTGGCCACCTAAGAAAACCACCTGCTTCCGTTTGGTTGTGTACAAGACTGCCGCTCCTTTTGGAGTACCTATCTGGAGTCTGATCATGCCCTGGTCTGCGCCAATCTCACCTTACTTTTCAGTGGTCGAAGGATTGACCGCCATCAACAATCGATGTTAGTGAACTGGCTGCAAATTCTGTTGCAAGTAAGTATCGAGCGGAACTACCTTCTAGGCTAGCTACCATCTCACCGAAAAGTATAGATGAACATTGGTTGCATCTTCACGACGCCATGAAAAATGGCGAGTAAGGCTGCTTGTGGCTTCGAGAAACGTCCTGCTTGCAAGCACTGGGTTTCTTCTGGCTCCTTACAACTGATGGAAGCCCGTCGGTCTACTCCGGGTGTCCGTGAGTATGACCACAAACGAAGACTGTTAGGTAATGAAATCGGGCAACGCTTGCGTAAGGATCGAGAAGCCTGGTGGTCGGAACGTGCTAATGAGATGGAAGCAGCAGCTGCATCTGGTAACTGCCGGAAGCTCTTCCAACTCATCCGAGCTACTGGCAGGAAGTCTGGTGCGAGTGAAATAATCTACAAGGATGACGGAATGCCAATCACTAACATCTCTTGACGTCTTGGACGATGGGCGGAATTTTTCGAAGGGCAGTTCAACTGGCCTATCTAAATTGAATACTTATGCATAGGAAACAGTTGTGAGGATAATTATCACTTTGAAATCTAACCCAATCAGGATAACAATATGAACTGTTTTGATGAATTCGATGACTTGAATTTCGGTAATCAACGTACTAGTAGATATTGGAAACTAGGTTATTTTGAGAACGATGTTTAACAACTTTTAGGGTCGATTCCACTACGTCTGATTACTGAATCACCTGAAAACGTAGTCAGCAGAGTACATTTGATGAATTGACCACTTTCAACAGGTTAATTTACCATACAAAGCATAAAACAATAAGGGATATTAAGGGGTCCTCGAACGAAGGCTCTTACGTAATGAAATCGGGCAAAGCTTGCGTAAGGATCGAGAAGCCTGGTGGTCGGAGCGTGCTAATGAGATGGAAGCAGCAGCTGCATCTGGTAACTGCCGGGAGCTCTTCCAACTCATTTATTTATTTATTTAAACACATATATATTGGTACAAAAGGGCACCAGGTACATATGCGCCACACAAAATAATGAAAGTAGGAAGAGAAAGGAATAAAAGATAAGGCGGACTAAAATGTACAACCAGAAGACACTTTCAAATAGGAAAGTAAGAAACATACTTCACGTAGAAAGTAAAAGAAGGTTGCAGCAGGATCGCCACTGGTTTCTATTCTGAGCCATATCTGATAACGTCTCTAGCCACTGTGTTGCACCATCTCTCGGACCCCAACCAAGGAGTCGTGAAGGACCAACAGAAGCTAGCCCTTTGCAGCTCTCTTTCATGCCACGACACCATGTCATAAACTGACCTCCTCTCCGCTTTTTCCAACCAGTCCCAGGGTCGGCAAATAATGCACGACGTGGAAGTCTGTGGGACGACATTCGTAAAACATGTCCAAGCCACCGAAGTCGGTGTTTCAAGATGGTGACACCAATTGAATTATCGTCTCTGTGCCCGAACACACGATGCCGAACCTCTGCATTACTAACATGGTGTTGCCACTGGATGTCAGCAATCCTTCGGAGACAACGATGATCGAACACAGAGAGATGTCTAACATCCTCAACTCGGAGAGGCCAGGTTTCACAAGCATAGAGCAAAACTGCTCTCACCGACGCGTTGTAAATCCGACTTTTTACAGCCAGACTAACATCACGAAGGCGCCAAAGATGGCCCAGATTGGCATAAACCGCTCTGGCTTTCCTTATACGTGCATCAATATCATCACTCACGCCACCACCAGCACTTATGTAGCTACCTAGATACACGAACTTCTCAACTACTTCAATCTGCTCACCATCCAGGGTGAGTACAGGATGAGAATCCTGCCAGTCTTGTAGAAGTACTTTGCACTTGGAGGGTGCAAAGCACATACCGTACCTGCGGACACTGATTGCCAACTGATTAAGTGCTGATTGCATGCCTTGGGCATTATCGCACAGTAAGACAATATCATCCACATACTCAAGGTCGAGAAGTCGTTCTCCAGGCAACATATCTACACCGCCATTACTTACATCCATCAGAGCTGTTTCCAGGATGTCATCGATGGCAAAGTTGAAGAGGAATGGTGAGATCAGGCAACCCTGCCTAACCCCACTGCTCGAATGGAACAAGGGAGAAAGGTGGTTGTATGCCCTCACTCTGCCTGAGGTGTTCGTATACAGGGCCTTTAAGATGTTAATGAACTTCTCAGACACACCCTTCTTCAATAGACAATCCCAGAGAACAGTCCTGTCCAACGAATCGAAGGCCGCCCTGATATCAAGAAACACTACGATTGTTGGCCTGCGATAAGTATGACGGTGTTCTAACATTTGGCGGAGGATGAAGATGTGATCAATGCATCGTCGATCAGAAGGAAAACCAGCCTGCTCCTCGCGAGTCAATCGTTCTCGGGTTTTAAACAATCTACGAAGAATGATAGAAGCCAATAGTTTGGACGCAATCGGAAGTAGACTTATCTTCCGATAGTTTTTGCAGGAACAACGCGAACCCTTTTTAAAGATAGGGACGACTATTGACTCATTCCATGATGTTGGAACACTTTCTGACTCCCAAACCTTTGCAAACAACACCGTCAATTCCTTAGTCAGAAAGTCATCACCTTCTTTAAAGAGAGTCGGAGGTAAGTCATCTGGGCCCGGTGATTTGTAGCGCTTCAAGAGTTGGAGTTCCTTGCGGACTTCCGCCTTGTTTGGTGGATCAGTCGTCACCGGCCATGGGGGGCAGGACAAGCTGGTTGATGTTGCCGGAGCAGCAGGCCAGTTGAACTGCCCTTCGAAAAATTCCGCCCATCGTCCAAGACGTCGGGAGATGTTAGTGATTGGCATCCCATCATCCTCGTAGATTGGTTCACTCATACCAGACTTCTTGCTGCCAGTGGCTCGGATGAGTTGGAAGAGCTTCCGGCAGTTACCAGATGCAGCTGCTGCTTCCATCTCATTAGCACGTTCCGACCACCAGGCTTCCCGGTCCTTACGCAAGCTTTGCCCGATTTCATTACGTAACAGCCTTCGTTTGTGGTCAAACTCACGGTCACCCGGAGTAGACCGACGGGCTTCCATCAGTTGTAAGGAGCCAGAAGAAACCCAGTGCTTGTAAGCGGGACGTTTCGCGAAGCCGCAAGCGGCTTTACTCGCCATTTTCATGGCGTCGTGAAGATGCAACCAATGCTCATCTATACTTTTCGGTGGGGTGTTAGCTAGCCTAGAGGCTAGCTCCGCTCGGTACTTACTTGCAACAGGAGTTGCAGCCAGTTTACTAATATCAATCCGTTGGTGGTGGTCAACCCTTCGGCCACTGAAAAGTAAGGTGAGATTGGCGCAGACCAGGGCATGATCAGACTCCAGATAGGTACTCCAAAAGGAGCGGCAGTCTTGTACACAACCACGCCAGCGGTAGCTGATCGCGATGTGATCAATCTGAGTCCAGGCTTGGGATGCAGAGGGAGGACGCCAGGTGGCACACCGGCGATGACTGTGCCGGAAGTTAGTGCTGGCCAGAAACAGGTTGTGGTCTGTGCACAGTTGCAGCAAACGGTCCCCGTTATCTGTCCTGCGACCAACAAGTCCCCATCGGCCACCTAAACGACTCTCTTCTGTGCCTAGACGCCCGACCTGTGCATTCAAGTCTCCGGCTAGTACTACAATATCTGTCGAACGCGCTTTCTGGAGAAGAACTGTTAACTGATGGTAAAACTCATCCTTGATTGCATCCGGGCTGCAATCTGTCGGGGCATAGGCGGAGATGACGAAAAGACACCGTTTCTCACGCCGGTTTCTTCTCACTTTGATGGAACTTTCTAATCTAACAGCACATAACCGACTGTTAATGGGGAACCAATCGATTAGTGCTGCCTCAGCCCTAGCGCTTAGTGCGACACCAACGCCAGCAAGACCAGACGAAGATGCCACAGGGTCCCCGGATAAGCGCACGTGGAACAAGCTTTTCGGGACAGATGGAGAGCGGATTTGTAGTACTTCACTAGAGTCTTGAATACGGGTCTCGGATAGACAGCAAACATCAACATTAAGACCTTCCAAAGACATAGCCAGCCCTATCTGTTGTCTGATCTCCATTAGTGTGCGAACGTTGAAGGAAGCCAGCTTGAACGGCGTACGCGGTTTCAGAAAGACTGCCTCAGTATTCATTATCGGTGAAAGCATTCACTTTCAACCAGACAGTGACTGGAGATCGTTTAGATAGGACAGATTTTCCACCAAGAGCGAGCTGATGCATAAGTTGAAGAGTAAAGTTACACAAATTGGGGGTAAAAGGGGGTGAATTAGCGATATGGTAAGTAATAATAATAATAATAATAATAATAATAATAGTAATAGTAATAATAATAATAATGATAATAATAACGTAAATTGTCTTGCTTCCAACTCATCCGAGCCACTGACAGCAAGAAGTCTGGTGTGAGTGAAACAATCTACGAGGATGACGGAATGCCAATCACTAACATCTCTTGACGTCTTGGACGATGGGCGGAATTTTTTGAAGGGCAGTTCAACTGGCCTGCTGCTCCGGCAACATCAACCAGTTTGTCCTGCCCCCCATGGCCGGTGACGACTGATCCACCAAACGAGGCGGAAGTCCGCAAGGAACTCCAACTCTTGAAGCGCTACAAATCACCAGGCCCAGATGACTTACCTCCGGCTCTTTTTAAAGATGGTGGAGACTTTCTGGCTAAGGAATTGACGGTGTTGTTTGCAAAGGTTTGGGAGTCAGAAAGTGTTCCAACATCATGGAATGAGTCAATAGTCGTCCCTATCTTTAAAAAGGGTTCGCGTTGTTCCTGCAAAAACTATCGGAAGATAAGTCTACTTCCGATCGCGTCCAAATTATTGGCTTCTGTCATTCTTCGTAGATTGTTTAAAACCCGAGAACGATTGACTCGCGAGGAGCAGGCTGGTTTTCCTTCTGATCGACGATGCATTGATCACATCTTCATCCTCCGCCAAATGTTAGAACACCGTCATACTTATCGCAGGCCAACAATCGTAGTGTTTCTTGATATCAGGGCGGCCTTCGATTCGTTGGACAGGACTGTTCTCTGGGATTGTCTATTGAAGAAGGGTGTGTCTGAGAAGTTCATTAACATCTTAAAGGCCCTGTATACGAACACCTCAGGCAGAGTGAGGGCATACAACCACCTTTCTCCCTTGTTCCATTCGACCAGCGGAGTTAGGCAGGGTTGCCTGATCTCACCATTCCTCTTCAACTTTGCCATCGATGACATCCTGGAAACAGCTCTGATGGATGTAAGTAATGGCGGTGTAGATATGTTGCCTGGAGAACGACTTCTCGACCACGAGTATGTGGATGATATTGTCTTACTGTGCGATAATGCTCAAGGCATGCAATCCGCACTTAATCAGTTGGCAATCAGTGTCCGCAGGTACGGCATGTGCTTTGCACCCTCCAAGTGCAAAGTACTTCTACAAGACTGGCAGGATTCTCATCCTGTACTCACCCTGGATGGTGAGCAGATTGAAGTAGTTGAGAAGTTCGTGTATCTAGGTAGCTACATAAGTGCTGGTGGTGGCGTGAGTGATGATATTGATGCACGTATAAGGAAAGCCAGAGCGGTTTATGCCAATCTGGGCCATCTTTGGCGCCTTCGTGATGTTAGTCTGGCTGTAAAAGGTCGGATTTACAACGCGTCGGTGAGAGCAGTTTTGCTCTATGCTTGTGAAACCTGGCCTCTCCGAGTTGAGAATGTTAGACGTCTCTCTGTGTTCGATCATCGTTGTCTTCGAAGGATTGCTGACATACAGTGGCAACACCATGTTAGTAATGCAGAGGTTCGGCATCGTGTGTTCGGGCACAGAGACGATAATTCAATTGGTGTCACCATCTTGAAACACCGACTTCGGTGGCTTGGACATGTTTTACGAATGTCGTCCCACAGACTTCCACGTCGTGCATTATTTGCCGACTCTGGGACTGGTTGGAAAAAGCAGAGAGTAGGCCAGTGTATGACATGGTGTCGTGGCATGAAAGAGAGCTGCAAAGGGCTAGCTTCTGTTGGTCTTTCACAACTCCCTGGTTGGGGTCCGAGAGATGGTGCAACACAGTGGCTAGAGACGTTATCAGATATGGCTCAGAATAGAAACCAGTGGCGATCCTGCTGCAACCTTCTTTTACTTTCTACATAAAGAGTGGTTCTAAATTTCTTAACTGAAAGAGTCTTTTGGTTGTACATTTCAGTTCGCCTTATCTTTTCATCCCTTCTCTTCCTACTTTCTACATTTTGTGTGGCGCATATGTATCTGGTGCCCTTTTGTACCAATATGCATGTGTTTAAATAAATAAATAAATAAATCGACATTAGTATATATCGTGAGTGAGGGATAGAATATCTGGCAGCAGAAGATTGGGAAGAAAAGAACAGAAAGCGAATGGTGTAGAAATCCAGGAACAATGAAGACTGCAACAATTAATGAGCATTATGCAAATAGAGTATCAGAGTATGGTTTTTGTATTTTATCAAGCAACTTTGTAACTTGTGCTAAATACATAATCAGTTGTCATCACCTGTGTTCTCATTCACTACACTATGTCCCGGCACAAGACTTTTCAATTGTGAAATTTAACTATATCCTTTATGTTACAGAATTTAGTTAGTATAGAATGCTATTGAATGTTACTAGTAATAAAACTAAAAGGTCCGAGAATATAGCCTTGGTGCTCCAGACTTTAATGAGATATGACGGCAGTAAAATGTTTCTCACAGGTAACCAGCATCGCCAACAATCTCTCTTTCGGTCGCGACCTTGGGTCAACAAGACTATTATTAACTTAACTAGCTTTTCAGATTTATAAAGAAGAATTCTTCTACAGCTTCAGTGACCCGCCCCCTACTTTTAACAGCACTTACCTTCAAAATAATACGTTTTAAAGTTCGGTTGCTTATCCCTAAAATGTGACGGGATGTGGTAAAAGAATACATGATCTTACGATATGAAATATGTAGTCTTAATGCTCTAAAGAACTTATAGTCAAGGAGCAGAAATAAACTGATGATAAAGGGTAGAATTTGTTTAACCTGCTGTATTTAAACACTGCGCATGAACAGAGATACATAATGGATTGAATACGAACACGAGATGGGAGTTAAGAGCATGGAACAAATAGATGTACACGGATAGAGGGACGTGACAAAATACACCATTCCATTACATATATATGCATAAGTTATTTCATTTAGGATCTTTAACCAATAATTTTCTTACTGTTATATGGGTTACACATAGACAATGGATACTAACAATGCCATGAACTGACAAGACTTTCCAACATAAAGTCTTACATCTGACCTTACTATAGCCATCTGTTTACAGAATAGACAAGCAGTACTTTTAATCAATTAGCGACCGAAGTGTATACTTTCTACCTTTAATTCTCATGGTTGCATTTTATAGGACAATGGACATAAGAACCATGCAGATAACTATATATAACATGTCAAACATTTATTCTCTATATTTAAGTATATTTTACACACTTTTAAAACTCCAAGGAAATCATAAAGTATATTCTAATAAAAAAAACTATGTGCAGGTTTAGACACTAGATTATGACCCACATATACTGCATCAAGATCGATGATGCCCATAGGATAGAATGGAGGTATGACAAAATATGTGCATTAATATTTCAAATTAAAATGTGAAGTGTCAGGAAATGATGTAAAACAATATGAATCACAAAAAAGTGCTGTGAATGAGAACAGCTTTACTTTTATTGAAATAGACTGTAAGGAAAGCGTTTGAAAAATCACTATTCACTTCACTTTATCAAATCCTAAGCAATATCACTTGTAGCAAGTAAAATTCAGAGTGCACATTATTGGATCACGATAATTTCCACAACTTCTCGGTAAGGTAAAGTATTTGAACGACTTTTAACGACCTCGTGATCAGGTATTCCATAAAAATCTGATTAAATAATTTGTGAATTTACTGTAAAATTTGTGTACACCAAAACAAGATATGAAAACGTACTGAGGTTCAGGGGCTTCACATTTTCTCACGAACTCTAATAACTCATTATTCGAAATTTTAGGAGGAGCATTCCAGTAGTGCAGCGTACGTGAAGGTGGATGAATACGATTCTTTTTAGCCATGATTGCTGTAGTATACCTGTTATTACGATCTTTGCTGTAATCTTTAAAAGAAGGAGAACCGTCGGGCAACTGGAATGGACTAGAAACATCCAAAATGACATCTTGCTTACTAGTTCGTACCTGGAAGCCAAAAGAAATGAGGTGAATAGATGATGAAGAAATCGAATAATAGGAAGTTAAGCCCACTAAGACAAATCAAATAAAACATACAAACTAAATTAAAATTGCAACAAGTAGTAATTGACAGTCAATAGTAGTCTATATCAATACAATGGAATACAATCAATACAATGGAATTAAAATCAGTGGAATGAACCTTAGTTCTGCACATTCCAATGCTATTTTCAACAAAGATTACATGCGTCTACCTTCGACGTATGTCATCTACGAAGTAATGGAGTGTGTCAACTATTTCATAGCTAAAGAAGTTACAAACACAGTTAATTCAAAATGATGCTAAAAAAATAGCTACTTGTTAATAGTAAGTCATATACAAATGAAATGTGGTTATCATATGTAGTGGGGTTAATAGTATTCAATTACTACTGCTCTTGGAAAACTACCTGCATGTAACAGGATTATTAAAGCAGTTCTAAAACATGTTGAATTGAATGTCACATGCTTCGGAATCAATTGAAAATAAGAGACTGAAACATTTAGTACGTAATAGTGTTCAATTATCTTGGAAGCCAGTTCAGGAATGTTATGACGAAACCTACATTTCTGGATAGAAAAAGTAGTACCAAACAAGGAACATGAATACCAAATGAGTGATGACAGCAAAGTTGATTTTAAAATGTTGGTTAGTGAAGAGAGAAAATCCGTAGATTCTTTTATATCAGTATTCTGTTACATTAATGCTTTATTTACTCCTAGAATTTTTTAACATGTCTTATTCATTGACAGAATGAATATGGAAGTCAACAAGAAGTTTGGATCAATGGTTTTTGAATTTCCTAGAAGTGTACACCGAAGAAAATTCACCAGACAAAAACGAGATTAAGATGAACCAAGGAGAAAGAGGCGAGCGAACAAGAAATAAACAAACATAGAATAATTAAATATTTATTGTTCTGAGGGAATCTTTTTGTAATGAATTTATCGACTTCGGATAGGAACACTTAGCTTCTATATACTTGTTTCCACTATCTTGTAGATTGCAAGCTGGCGAAATATCAACTTTTTCAGAAAATATATTCACTAAGTTACTGTTGGTGTTCATCTTGCTGTATTAATGAGGTGCGGGATATTGGACCGATGCATATATGTGCCTGATCCTACGTTGTAGTTGATTGATTGATAAGTCACCGTCTGATTATCACTTCAAGAAGAGTTGTGCAACTGTATAGAACTCTGTTACGAAAATACAGAGCGTAAAAATTGCGGAGGTTTTGATTATTGAAACTGTAAAAGGACTAATATACAACTTATGCAGAAATAATAGTCATGTTATTAGATGAGGACCTTTACTGAAACAACTAACAATTATGAGGTAAGAATTTTAGGCTGTTTGGTAAAAAATTTCTGTTTATTTGTTTCCCACGAAAATGAAACGATTCCTAACATGCATGTGTCAGCAAAGATGATGATATGAACTTTGTGTTTTCGACAAATATGCATTTTCCATACACTGAGGTCAAATTATTCCCGTTTATTTGGACTTATACAATACATAGGTAAAAACAAAACGTGAACTTGTCTGTAGTATGAACTTAAACTAGAACGCCAGTTTCACAAACCGATAAGCGGCCAAACCAAAACATAGCATCAGTGCTCGAAGTCACTAACTTCTAGTTTGAGTCATGTTGGCAGATGCAGACTACCTGGTTGGGGTCCACGTGACTATCGTAACCAATGGTTGTAGACTCTAGGTGACATGGCTCAGAATCAATCACAATGGCGTAGGTGTATACACTCTTTATCTTCCCTTAAACCTTGAGATTAAAATTGCTTCATAACTTTTTTCCTTCCTATACTATATCCTGATATACAACCTTTCTTTATATACTACCACCACTAAATTAATTACTTCTATGAATCCGGTGTTCACCTTGTTGTGCTAACGAGGTATGGCAACTTGGACCGATGCATATGTGTGCCTGGTCGTACGTTGTAGCTGACTGACTGACATACATTTGAGTAACTGATATACTACGGTGCTACAAAGCTACAAAAAAAACAGAATATGGAAAACAATGTGGATGAAGAAGTTCAAAAATGGAAATAAGTCGGAAAATCATAATACGAGGACATAAAACATACAACGTAAAGGGGACGTCAGTCTCAGATAAGACACTACTCACCATTAACTGGTTGCCCATAAACGAAACACCTGACAGATTTCGGATAAGGCGGGTAGCTGATTCAACATCGCCCATTTCAACCATAGCTGAACCTTCTTTAGTACGGAGAAATTTAACACGGATGACGTTGCCATAAATACACAAAATATTGAATACGCTAAATAAGGAACCAAAATGAGTATTATGAATGACATGAAAATCACAAGACACTGGATATTAATTAGTTGAACATATTTAAAAGATTCGACATCAGATTTTAGGTACATTATTATTTAGTTTTCACAAGTTTACATATTCTCTAAACCTCACCCGATAGATTCAAATTGATGGTAGTTATAAACAAGGGTTAAGTAATTTTGGGGTACATAATCAGAATTGATAAATTCAATGAGTGAAATAAGAAAAAAAAAACAAAACCAAGTATTTTTATTTTGTTCAGATACGCACATTGTACGGTTAGAGTTAATAAAAGCAATTGCTTGAGAATAAGTCATTTTAATACAAACCACACTGGGTAATAGACAACGTGGTATCTGGTACAAATGAGCTAAGATTCAATTTCCCACGCCCTACATCATAATTCAGGTGAAATATTATGATAAAAACGCATAGGAGAAAATAACAATACCAGTTTTAGTAAAAATGTAAACATAAGAAACACAATTTTGAATAAACTAATAAAACCGACCACGGAAGGAAATTAGTTAAAGATGGTTATGATAGACTTTTATACTCTAAAAGAACTCATTTGTTAGCCAGCCAACTAAAACTGAACTACTGAAGTGTATTCGAAGTTAACTTGTTAATGAATGCCACTTTTTATGCTTTAGGTCTGTTACTGCATTTTTGACTGTTTTAAGAACTAAGATAGTAGTATAATTATAAGCAGCATTTACCACTATTTCCATATCAGACAGCATACCATAAATCGGTACCTGATTATGAGGGTTCAGGTTACATTTCACTAAATACCAAGTTAACCATAATAAAAAAAAGTGTTTGAAGAAGAAACTTACACTAAATCGCGAAACACCAGAAATTCGACTTTTTACTGATTGCGATATTATAAATACATTTTATTGTATTTGGCAATCCACCCAAAGCTTAATTCATTTCTAGATATCAAGTTATATCTTAATAGTGTGATAAATAACAAGTTAAACCTTCCTAAAAACAATCTCGCTATTCGAAATTAAGAGCTAGATTTGAAAAAGTCTTCCAGTACAATTTTTCTGCCTATATCTTGGAATAAGTGCGTTGTTTGAGCGTAAGGATATGGTGGAAGAGTGATAATCTTTCATTTATCATGCTTCATATTAACTGATTATTTATTGTCGGAAATAAGATATCCAGAGGAAGAAAACAATGAAAATATTATTTTACATTTTTACTGGATTAATTGTACCGTGACAGCTAGAAACACAAACAGTGCAGACAATTAGACCTGAATTTCAATCAGATCTATTTCGAAATAATTTTTATATGCATTTACCTTTTAAAAGTTTGAAGTGATATCAATTTAGAGTCTAATCCCATTTATGGATATTCCCAAAATACCATACTATTAAAAACATTACATCGGATGTATGGCTGTGTTAGTGCGTCACTTGATAAAAATCTGCAGTAAAGCCATACACCAAAATAGCGGCATTCAGCAGTTTTAATGGTCGAAATTGCCATTAGCCAATAGTGGTTAATAATTAAATTACATGAACTCGTTCACCAAGTACTTAGGTATGAGCCACACTTTGAGTGTGAGAACGAATTATACTACTCGGTTGCTCAAACCGAAGTAGGGCGAGGTTTGAAACTAGAACTTAGGGGCAGAAGAACGAATACCTTAACCATTAAACCAATGCTTTGTCCTATCTGATTAATAGTAGGTTGTCTTTTAATTAAAATCGTGTGATCAACACCGTATGGATTCATAAAATTATGAAAAAATAAACTAACCGATCACAGTTCATTTTCTTCATATCGATATTGTACAGCATAACCACTGCCGTGGAGTTAGAATTTCTATTCCTATTTTGAGCACCATTTAGTGCAGGAATATTGTGAGGTCCCACAGGTATGTTCTTACATTCTGAGGGGTATTGGTGTCCGTAATCGTTTGAATCTTCGTAAGGATACTGCCTATAAGGATGTTCGTAATCGTAATGACCCTCATCCATATAACCTGAAGAATGAAAATAATGTTGCTAAGATACTTACCGAGAAGCGAATTTTGGTAATGACCATCCTGAAAATTACAGAATGGGTCACGTTCGCATTTCTCGAAGTCCCAGTTATCTTGATCATTCCTGGGCACAGATAATCGAGCTGGACGAGCATAGTCTACCTTTAGAGTACAACATCCTGGGAAAATATCTGCACCATTCAAATGGAGCTTTGCATTACGTGCTTCTTGTACACTTCCAAACTCCACCATTGCCTGAAACACAGGTTGGTTTTTATTTTGTCACTCACTTGAACCTGGGATTTCCGAAAGATGACTATTCGAAGGACACTACCGTACGAAAATGTTATTCGATAAATTGTTTCAACAGTTATAGGACGATCAGTATCGTAAATTGTAAACAGAAGGATATGATTATCTGCTGAAAGCGAACTTTGTTCATCGGTAGGAACTCTATTTGCAGCTCGCTGAACTATGTGTTTTGATGTGCTGAAACTGATTTGAACCAGGCTATTCAGAATTTTCACTTCGGGATTTCTAAACATTAAGAATAAGAGTACGTATATGATTATCAGGATTTTGTTTCTCTGTAGACGAGATTTCGTTGTAAACGAGAACTAGATCTTAAGTATAATCTGGGAATATAAACCACTCTAATAACTTATGTAAATTGCATAAGATATCTAAATTGAATACTTATGCATAGGAAACAGTTGTGAGGATAATTATCACTTTGAAATCTAACCCAATCAGGATAACAATATGAACTGTTTTGATGAATTCGATGACTTGAATTTCGGTAATCAACGTACTAGTAGATATTGGAAACTAGGTTATTTTGAGAACGATGTTTAACAACTTTTAGGGTCGATTCCACTACGTCTGATTACTGAATCACCTGAAAACGTAGTCAGCAGAGTACATTTGATGAATTGACCACTTTCAACAGGTTAATTTACCATACAAAGCATAAAACAATAAGGGATATTAAGGGGTCCTCGAACGAAGGCTCTTACGTAATGAAATCGGGCAAAGCTTGCGTAAGGATCGAGAAGCCTGGTGGTCGGAGCGTGCTAATGAGATGGAAGCAGCAGCTGCATCTGGTAACTGCCGGGAGCTCTTCCAACTCATCCGAGCCACTGACAGCAAGAAGTCTGGTGTGAGTGAAACAATCTACGAGGATGACGGAATGCCAATCACTAACATCTCTTGACGTCTTGGACGATGGGCGGAATTTTTTGAAGGGCAGTTCAACTGGCCTGCTGCTCCGGCAACATCAACCAGTTTGTCCTGCCCCCCATGGCCGGTGACAACTGATCCACCAAACGAGGCGGAAGTCCGCAAGGAACTCCAACTCTTGAAGCGCTACAAATCACCAGGCCCAGATGACTTACCTCCGGCTCTTTTTAAAGATGGTGGAGACTTTCTGGCTAAGGAATTGACGGTGTTGTTTGCAAAGGTTTGGGAGTCAGAAAGTGTTCCAACATCATGGAATGAGTCAATAGTCGTCCCTATCTTTAAAAAGGGTTCACGTTGTTCCTGCAAAAACTATCGGAAGATAAGTCTACTTCCGATCGCGTCCAAATTATTGGCTTCTGTCATTCTTCGTAGATTGTTTAAAACCCGAGAACGATTGACTCGCGAGGAGCAGGCTGGTTTTCCTTCTGATCGACGATGCATTGATCACATCTTCATCCTCCGCCAAATGTTAGAACACCGTCATACTTATCGCAGGCCAACAATCGTAGTGTTTCTTGATATCAGGGCGGCCTTCGATTCGTTGGACAGGACTGTTCTCTGGGATTGTCTATTGAAGAAGGGTGTGTCTGAGAAGTTCATTAACATCTTAAAGGCCCTGTATACGAACACCTCAGGCAGAGTGAGGGCATACAACCACCTTTCTCCCTTGTTCCATTCGACCAGCGGAGTTAGGCAGGGTTGCCTGATCTCACCATTCCTCTTCAACTTTGCCATCGATGACATCCTGGAAACAGCTCTGATGGATGTAAGTAATGGCGGTGTAGATATGTTGCCTGGAGAACGACTTCTCGACCACGAGTATGTGGATGACATTGTCTTACTGTGCGATAATGCTCAAGGCATGCAATCCGCACTTAATCAGTTGGCAATCAGTGTCCGCAGGTACGGCATGTGCTTTGCACCCTCCAAGTGCAAAGTACTTCTACAAGACTGGCAGGATTCTCATCCTGTACTCACCCTGGATGGTGAGCAGATTGAAGTAGTTGAGAAGTTCGTGTATCTAGGTAGCTACATAAGTGCTGGTGGTGGCGTGAGTGATGATATTGATGCACGTATAAGGAAAGCCAGAGCGGTTTATGCCAATCTGGGCCATCTTTGGCGCCTTCGTGATGTTAGTCTGGCTGTAAAAGGTCGGATTTACAACGCGTCGGTGAGAGCAGTTTTGCTCTATGCTTGTGAAACCTGGCCTCTCCGAGTTGAGAATGTTAGACGTCTCTCTGTGTTCGATCATCGTTGTCTTCGAAGGATTGCTGACATACAGTGGCAACACCATGTTAGTAATGCAGAGGTTTGGCATCGTGTGTTCGGGCGCAGAGACGATAATTCAATTGGTGTCACCATCTTGAAACACCGACTTCGGTGGCTTGGACATGTTTTACGAATGTCGTCCCACAGACTTCCACGTCGTGCATTATTTGCCGACTCTGGGACTGGTTGGAAAAAGCAGAGAGTAGGCCAGTGTATGACATGGTGTCGTGGCATGAAAGAAAGCTGCAAAGGGCTAGCTTCTGTTGGTCTTTCACAACTCCCTGGTTGGGGTCCGAGAGATGGTGCAACACAGTGGCTAGAGACGTTATCAGATATGGCTCAGAATAGAAGCCAGTGGCGATCCTGCTGCAACCTTCTTTTACTTTCTACATAAAGAGTGGTTCTAAATTTCTTAACTGAAAGAGTCTTTTGGTTGTACATTTCAGTTCGCCTTATCTTTTCATCCCTTCTCTTCCTACTTTCTACATTTTGTGTGGCGCATATGTATCTGGTGCCCTTTTGTACCAATATGTATGTGTTTAAATATATAAATAAAATAAACGTCTTAAATTGAGACACTCAAAGAAATTAACAACATGAAGATAAACACGAGATTTGTTAAAATAATGCAAATTTTAAAGAAAAATACATGATTTATCGTTATCACATAAAAGGGTTAGCGGTTGAGTGAGATCTAACGTTTTTGCTTCACGAGTCCATATTATGTAGAGTACATTCCCGACCGTGACATGTATTAGTGCTTTGAGAAAAAACCAATTACTTCCGTATTCGAAGACTGATCCGTCTCAACTGGCACAGTGGATGAATATACATAGACCAAGGCGAGTATGAGCTAACTAGTATAATTCTTTTCTCGTTATACGATATTTCAGCCTTTCTTTAGTTCCCTTAATTTACATTTTCACCATTTTTTACCCACTTGATATTGCTTTCACTTCATGTTTTTTCTTCAAATCCTCTTATTTGAACCAAAATAGAATCAGCTAGCTGACTGCCCGATAAGACGACCATCTGTTTGCAGTAATCCTATTGACTTGAAACGACCATTCTCGCCTACCTTCGACTAATTATGTCATATAAATCATTAAGGTTGTTTGGATGATCACAAACGAAACCAATGAAGATCTAGGACCACTCCATGTAATTAAGAGACGAATCACGAAGCCAAATGGTCTGGATCAGATCTTCATTTAGACATATAACATCAATGAACAGCCTAGGACGGATATTCACACCGTTGCTAAATAAAAAATCTGACAGGAAGCTAACCAGTGACTAAAGTTAACTTTTTAACTATTTTGAAAGCCTCTTAAACTACTAAAATAAACAAGTAACCGTACTCTTTTGTTTCTAATTAAATCAATGGGAGAAAAAAACGACTGACAAATCTATTCCATTCTGTAACGGAAGAAGATACGACACGAAACTGGCATCACGCACGCCGATATTGGAGAGACCAACATGATCAGTTTGTTGCGGTGTACAAAAGCACCAGTAATAAAATGTGACTTTTAAAACGTACTTATTAGAAACCTTATAAAAACCAGGTGAAAATAATCAAGTAACGACTTTCAAGTCACTTTTGAACGATCAAGATAGACATTGGATCTTTAACTAAGACACCATACCTTTCTATAAGAGCTTCAGCTGATGATATATCTTCAAACTCAACCAAAGCTTGTTTTTTCTGAGGCATCATTGTTACGTCACGAATACGTCCATAAGACTCAAATGCTTTGACGACATCAAATTCCACACTATGTCTCGGCAGACCACGGACATGAACAACTGGGGAAGGATCAATCTCACCCCAGTCTTCTGGTCGACTTCTTTTACAACCTGAACCTGTGCCTCTATCAGACATGGTAACGGAGATCTTGTAAATAGCGGCTGCAGACACCCTTACATGTGAATGAATAAAACACAGAAACTATTAACAGGCATCGGAAGACTGGTCCTGAATATGATTTAAACATGACATATCGAGAACTGTCGAACATTTTTTCATATGTTAGGTTTCGTAAAAAGAATTGAGATTACATCAGTCTAACCAATTTTGATGGCCTGTGTTAGTCCTGGCGATGATGGTCTCTCAGTACATACAAATTTCTTTTGAAAGAGTTGACGGATGGAGTCTCAACCATTTGCTCAGGTAATGATTTTCATTCGTTGATGATTCGATGGGAAAGTCGGTAGTCAGCTGACAAGTAATTTGTTCTGGGCTTGTGAACTTTTTTGGGGTATCCTCGTAAATTTTCTGTTTTGGAAAACAAGAAAAATGAGGACAAATCAGGTGCAAATTTATCACTAAATAATTTGAAAACTGTAATTAAGTCTCCTCTGGTTCTTCGATATGACAGTACCTATTTTTAATTTATTTGATAATCTATCTTTTATTTAAGAACTCTCGTCCAAATTAGAACGAATAGTTTCACAGTATTTGAGCGCCGAGTTGAAGCAAGACATTAAATAGGAATATTATATTTGTAAAATCTCAGCGAATGAATTTTTTAAATTAAATCCAACGTTTCGCCTGGCAATCTGGTCCAAGCTTTTTCAAGGAATTATTTTGAAAAAAACTTGGACCAGATTGCCAGGCGAAACGTTGGATTTAATTTAAAAAATTCATTCGCTGAGATTTTATAAATATATTATTCCTATTCACTATCTTTTATTGTTCAGTTAGTAATGGGAAACTGATATCTGACTTGGAAAAGTTATGGCTGGACTGTAAGAAAGTAGAAGTCTGAGAACTTTTAAATTTGTTCTCCGAATAATTAACTGGATTTATGAACAATGAGAAGTGAGTTCTTGGCATTCCTGTTAGTTTTTAATAGTAATGAGTTTGTTCTGACAATCCTGGAAACCAGAGGTCTGAAATTCCAATGATGATTTTCCTCTTCGAAAAAACGATAGAACAACGGACAATTGGTCTATCAGGAACTAGCTTTTTTGAACGTAGTCAAGCACAGAAAGCCAATGGTGAACATTAGTGATGTATCCACCTTGTACTTTATGCGGTATTTTAGCCACACACTTACTGATATACTAAGGAGCATGGGTAATAATCCGTCAGATATTCTAGGTATCCAACATCATTCACACTATATAGCAAGCAAAACATACTGTCATGTGAATCCAATGATTCCTAAGGTTATTACGGTCTTTTCTTATGTTTATCTGACCAGTGAACGATGACTTATTGCCTGTTTTCAGGAGGTGACAGGAGCTATCAACTCTATGGCATTACACTACTGCTGGCCCCTTCTTACGTATTTAATTTTAGGTGCAGCCTGATAATGCTTAACTAACTAACGCTTAACCAAATAGTGGTAAGCTAAGGTTATCTATCTCACAAATACTGAAAGAATTTTATTTTGTATTGACGTACATAATAATAATTTGAATGCAACCCACAAACAAACCAGCAACTGAATAGAAAGAAACAGGACGCTCGCAGTCGTTCGTGATGCTTGCGGACAAAACAATGTACAGAAATGAAGATGTTAACACAGTCGATGATAGGAAGTGGTAACAGAAACTTCCTCTCACAATGCGTGTTTTACTGGTAATGTCTTTGTTTAAAATTGACTTAATATTATTAGGAAAAACTATAAACGAAAATTAAACTCCCTACGTGATATAACGATAACATGGAATAATTAATGGCAAAGCTGTTTGTGGAGATAGTAACATCAATAATATATTTACCATATGCCTTTGTCAAGGTGTGTAGGTAGCAACCGTTGTTCACGCATGACTTAAAGTCATATAGTATTGCGTAAAGTATTGATAGGGTTTGCCTTGTGATGCAGCTTGATGATGTCTTTCCCAACTCCAGCATTTATTCCTGATTTTCTCTTCAGATGGAGGTCGGTTTCTTCTCTCTCACAGTAGGTTGTTGTTGATGGCATCCGGACGACGGACATCAAGTACCTTGAGTAGACATTTGGTCATAAAAATCTGTACTTCATTGATGACGGTTGAAGTAGTTCTCCAAGTTCCAGCTCCTTACAATACAAATGACTTAACATTCGTATTGGAGATTTCGACTTTCATTTTGGCTAGCAGACAGATGTTTTAATTTCCGTATGTTCTTCAATTGTAGGAATACCTTAGTTGTTTTATTAATCCGTGCCCTCAAATCTGCATCGAAATCATTTGTTAATCAATGATTCTGTCCAAGTACGTAAAACTCCTCACTTCTTCCAGCTCTGTATCCTAACTGTACACTGTGTTCCGTGCTTCCCATCAGATAAGGATGTCTTCATAATCCAGCCAACTACTTGAATAAGGACAAGAGGCAGGAGTAAACGGAGTTGTCTAACGTTGGTCCTCACTTTGAATGCATCTGTCAGCTGTCCTTAACTCTCTACTCCGCGTTGTAGTCCATCGTATGAATTCCGGATGATGTTGACGATTTCATCAGCTACTCATTTCATAGTGTCGAAGAAGTCTCAATCATGTTCTCCTATCCCCACAGTCAAATGCTTTCTCAAAAGGTATTTACTAGGTGATAATATGAAGTCATAAGACACCTTCAGTAGAGAAATTAGTGAACCGGTAAATGTGGTGAAACAATGGCTATGAAGCGACACGCGCGCTATTTAAAAGGACAGTGGTATTGTTTCACGTTGAGTTTAATTCACTGTTTTGATCGTAAATTACGTATCAAAACTACCGTTTACACTTTAATTGAATTTATTTCAGTTAACGTGACATTGTATTTGTGTGTTTTGATCCTGCTTTTGTGTATTTACTGCTTCAAAGCATTCTTGGTCGACTGCGGCTTGTTTATTTGATAAGGTTGTGATTTATCTTACATATCTACCTTGCCTATCATTTTGCTTTATTCTAAGATGGTCGGCTCTGTACACAAGTGTGGACAGCCATATTGCTTATTCCCCGTGGAAGAAGGGATGCAATGTGACGATTGTAAGAAGTGGTTTCATAAAATGTGCACTCGCTTAAGCCCTGCTGCCTATAAAAGGCGCTCGAAACCAAATTCTCAATGGCTCTGTATGTTTTGTTGCTCAAGCAAGACATTACTCATTCAGGAAGCCATCAGCCTTCTAGCGTTAGCTAAAAAGGTTGAAGTAGGCCGTGCCGGCAACATGGATACTGATAATGAAGATTGTATCAGTGTCGTAAATGCTGCCATGGCAGGTACCAGACACCCAATTTCGCAACATGAAGCAAAAATTTGTACAACCAGTGAAAGCCATGCCATTTAGTACTGAGGGACCAGTCGTTTTAGCAGCGACTGAGGACCCGGCTAGAACCACTATCGTCCAGAATAGTTCCAATCTGGATGCTGAGAATAGTGGTAAATGGATTACGCGGAAACGCAAAAGAGACGGAAAAATACCCAAAGAAAGCGCGCGTATAGTCGGTGAGTCATCGTTGGACTCACGTCCTGAGCATCAGGCAATTCCGCTCAAGTCCAAATGTAAGGAAATATTTAATACTGTTGTGGATGGAAATAGTCTAACTTCACCAAATGTTGTTGGGAGTAACTCGCTTGACCCACATGACACTGTGATAAAGAAAGCTAATAGCAAGAAGCCGGTAGCTAACCGGCAGGATCTGACATCACGGTCAAAAACCGTGAACACGACTTTTAAGGCAGTTAAACAGGTGCCTAGTGTAATCATCTGGAACTTGGCAGAATCGAAAGACACCGATCCCGCTAAGAGACATGCCCACGACCTGAAGTTAGTCGGATCTCTCATCAGAAATATACTGCCAGAGGAGGTCCCAGGGGTACATATATCGAAAGTCATCAGACTTGGTAAGTATGTTGGAGGTGAAACCCAACAGAGAAGGATCCTCAAATTAGTACTCGGTAATTTTGAGGAAAGGGACGTATTACTAAATAACTCACGCAAAACTCGTGACTCAAACATTCGTATTCGACCTGACTGGCCACTTGAGGATCGGATGAAGTGGAAGAATGCCCTAACAGAGTTAAAAACTCGAAGGCTAAACGGTGAAGCGAACCTTACGATTAAGGGTTTTCGGGTAGTCAGGTCTTGGAAGCCAATGCAAGGGAGGAGGCATAATATTATATATTAGGGACCACTTCCGCATTAACTCGATCATATCGGAGGCGCATGTAAGTGGTACGTGTGAGGTAGTATGTTGTACAATTAGGTCTAGAAACGGGTTAGTGACGATAGGAGGAATAGATCGTAGTCCGTGCTGTCTCGCTGACGATTTTATCCTAAAACACGTCTGTTCTTGGAGTAAAGCAGAATGTTGTCTCATCGTTGGAGACTTCAATGCACCCCATATAAACTGGATAGAGCTCACAGCTCCAGGTGGGGGTTTCGATAGCGTCCTTTTGTCATCAATTATTCAATGTGCACTTGTACAATGTATCGTTAAGCCGACGCATATAGACTTGGAACATAATCCGTCATTGATAGACCTTGTCCTCACACACCACTGTGAGGATATCGTTGACATTCAACATCTTCCCCCACTGGTGAATAGTGACCATGTCGTACTTTCCTTTAAGTTCCGGATACACGGTATAGAATTTGCATCTGCTCCACCCCGTCCTAATATCTGGAGAGCTAATATTCCGGCAATCAGGGACTATGCTATCTTAATTGACTGGTCGGTCGATGCTGATGGATCGATTGATGATGCATGGAATAGGTTTAAGTCTACGTTCGAATCCGTAACTCAACCGTTTATCCCATGGTCAGCACGTAAGTTATCATATTGCCCTCCATGGATTAATAAGGAAACCCGGAAGCTGTTGAAGCGTAGGAAACACTTCTGGGACTTAGTCTTGTCAACAGGTCAGGCATCATTTAAGTGCGAATATAAAAAAATCCGGAATATATGTAAAAAGACCATAGCTAAATCCCGCACGGCTTACGAACGACAGTTGGCATACGATAGCC